AAATTTGTATGGTGGATGTGATTTGTTATCTTTGTAAAGATGAAAACTTGTTGTCTCCTTCTGATGCATTGAAGGCACCTGTCTCTGTGCTTCTGCCTAAGATTCCGGGACTCGTGGTGCATGTGGAACCATCTTGCAGGTAATCCAATTACTCTTTTCAATGTGGGATTTATGTTCATTTTCAGTTTAGTTTCATTCAGTTTCAGAGATTTTAAGTTCTTGAAGAAATGAATTTCTGTTTTTCTGCTTTGATTGTTGGTGGGTGAAATGGTAACTTGGTAAGAAAAAATGAAAAATTATCATTTTGAATCTGGAAAAAAGGAAAAAAAATCTGCTAAATCTTGTTAATATCGACTAATATTTCTGTATTTTCATCATGTTTATTAAATGAGTTGGAAGAATTCACTTTAATTTTAAGCTGGTAACTGAAAAAGTTTTAATTTTTCTTTTTTGGTGTTTATTGTGATATAATTAAATCTTAATGCCGGTTTCTGATTGCAGTTTACTTGAAGCAATTGATCTCATGCTTGAAGGAGCACAAAACCTGGTAGTACCAATCAAGAACAGACTGAGCACAAGAAGAAAACAGCTCCAAAAGCTCTCACCAACCAGTCCAACAAGCCACAATGGCCGAGAATTCTGTTGGCTAACTCAGGAAGATGTAATCCGATTCATTCTCAGTTCCATTGGCCTTTTCTCTCCAATTCCTGCACTATCCATTGACACTCTAGGCATTATAAGTTCTGATATTATTGCTGTGGACTATGACTCCCCTGCCTCATTAGCCCTTGAAGCAATCTCTCGCTCACTTATTGATCAAACCTCAGTGGCAGTGGTTGACACTGACGGCATTCTGATCGGCGAGATCTCGCCCTTAACACTCGGTTGCTGTGATGAGACGGTGGCTGCCGCCATCACAACACTCTCCTCTGGGGACCTTATGGCATACATTGACTGTGGAGGACCCCCGGAGGATCTTGTTAGGGTGGTGAAAGACAGGCTCAAGGATAAAGGCCTGGAAGGAATGTTGGAACAATTCAATGTCGACTCGAATTTATTGTCATATTTGTCTGCAAGTTCTTCATCAGATGAGGAATCAATGACAAGCACTCCAAAGTTAGCAAGATCAGGAAAGCATAGCAGGTCAATGAGCTATTCAGCAAGAATAGTAAGGAGAGCAGAAGCGATAGTTTGCCATGCGAAGAGTTCTCTAGTCGCAGTTATGATTCAGGCAATTGCACATAGAGTGAATTATGTTTGGGTTATAGAGGAGGATTGTAGCTTGGTTGGAATTGTAACATTTTCTGACATGTTAAAAGTTTTCAGGGAGCGTTTAGAGAGCATGACCTGAAAGATGAGGAGCTTTTTAGTAAAGTTCTAGCTTCTCATTTGAAGGGTCCGGAGCTGAAGTGAAGATGTTAGAGAAGAAGGAAATTAAAAAAAAAAAAAAAATAGTAAAGCTATGTGAATATGGCTCCTTTTTGGTTTTAATCATCTGGGTTGAGAAGTTTGGTCTTTTTTTTGGACGATTTGTAATTTGTATCATTTCTTTAATTTGTGTGTTCATCCTAATCCTGTTAACTTATTTCATCTAGAGTGGCAGGCAAAGGAAGAAGATTTATATATTCTGTCCCCTTGTGTTCATCTTTTTCTCATGATTCAAGTTCAAATATTAAAAGATTATAACATGTTAAACTAGTAAACAAGAATAAAGAATGAATTAATAAACTGATAACAGATTGTAGCATGGGATAAATCAAGTGTTTAATTTTGTAGAGTAATGCTACTGACACCAAATTTGTGCATGGAAATTTTTTACTGAACGACTTGGCATCCATTAAGATGTAGCCACATGGACATAAAATAGTAATTCCGTGAATGAATGGCCGTCCATCTTACACGGACGGCTGTCCATACGTTATGGACGACCGTTTATCACGAATCGTCTACGACAATATCAATAGACTCCTGTCCATATAATATAAACGGGTGTCTATTTACTATGGGTGTCCATCTTATATGGACAGACGTCCATATAAGATGAGACGGTTGTCCATACCCAAATTCTAGTTTAATAACAAATTTTCTTTAAAAAATTCTAAATTGTGAGTGCTTTTATCCATCTCTCTTGTTTTGCATTTTTTTTATAAATGAAAAAAAAATGTAAATCTAAAAAAAAAAATTATTTGAGTATGGGCACCCGTCCATCTCATTTGGATGGTGGTCCATTGTATATGGATGGCCATCCTCATTAGATGGATTGGCATCCATACTTTAAACTTTAAAAATTAAAGTTTCTTTTTTCCTTTATTTCATCTAAAAGTTTTGTGCTTTAAAAAGAATATTTCATCTAAAAATTTTGACTTAGACAAGCCATAGGTTTTTATAAATGAAAAAGAAATTATAAATTTAAAAAAAAAAATTATTTGAGATGGACTGACATCCAATACTTTGTGCTTTAAAATTATATAGATGATCGTCCATAATAAAAGGACTCCTGTCCATAATACCATTGATATTTTCTGGACTCTCGTCCATTCGTGATAAATGGATATAGACGACCGTCCATAATTGTTAGATGATCGTTCATTCACTGAATATTTATGTTGTATCCTATGTGGTCACGTATGAGTCAGATGTCACATACATCGTACCAAATTTTGGTACCAGCATTAGGTGTCTATATCATTTTTTTATTTTATAAGGACTTGGTGGAGGCGTAGCTCAATTCTTCTTCATGATGACAGCTCATGGTTGTTGGATTAAATTGCATGAGAAGACAAGGATACTGCAAATTTGTGCATCTTAGAGTGTATTATTTTGACCAACAACTTCTGTATTGACAGGGGTAAAGAGGGACGTGGCATAAATCTACAGGTTACTCTGATTTTATGGGCTGGAACTCAGGGATTGTAGCCATGTGAAGTAGCTATGGCTTGCCCCACAATAAAATAAATTTGCTTCTGCCACCATATTCTGTAGGAAATCACTACAAAAGATGATAAAAGTAAACTGATTAGGTCCTGTTAAGTTAAAAAGTTTTCATCAGTAGTTGGTCCGTTATACTAAATAAAAGCTTAAATGTAAGGTAAGACCTTGATGGAAGGCAAAATTCTTGAAAACTTCGGAACTGAATCTCTTTGATTTTGTCTTTTGAAGTAGTTCTAAAGCTCCTGAAGATTTCCCCACATGGGGAATCTCTGCTTGTTGAGCAATCTATGACTATGAACATATCACACATATAATAAGATTCTCCAAAAAGCACATTTGAGTCTTAACATGTTCTGAACCTTAAACATGAGAAATAGTATGGTTAATTAATCAAATAAAGGAGATGTTTATGACTGGAGAAACATACTGCAGAACAGTCTGGACTTCAGTGGCATAGCGTCAAGTCATTCAATCAACTACAAGTTTCTAAAAACAACAGCAGCATTTCATTCAAGGCTTGATGGCAAGAGACAGTTGTAATCCATCAAGCCTTCCAATAACATAAAAAAGTTGAGATGGGGGGCTGGACTCTACTTGGGGTGTGGGCAAACCAGAGCCGTACAATTAGGTTTAGGCTCACAAAATTCAACAAGTTGTTTAATGTCATTTCAACTGATAAATGAAATGATAATGAAACCAGTTCTGTTGGCTGGGAAAAGTCAAAAATGAATTCTGAAACGTGCATTGGATTTTGCTTATAATATTTCATCTTTCATACAGCCGTGTGAAATGAAACAAGTTCGAATTTTAAATTGATTTCATTCCAAATGTATTCAAACCATTTGAGAAAATCAGACTTAGTCCAAATGGTCAATATCTAGTACAGGTACAAGATCGTTTCTAGTAGAAAGGAAATATAAAATTTTTATATTTTTTTACTTGTAGAGTTGGGTATTATCAAGCCAACTGGTGAGTAATTTTTCTGCAAATTCAAAGCTTTGAAAAATTTGTTTAACTAAAATACCTACTTGGATTTTGTGAAGCTAACACAGATCATGAATTGACATATACAGAAAAGAGCATGTGCTGATCAGATTTTGAAAAGCAGAAAGTAGGAATTGCTTATTAGAGAAGCACTTACTGTTTTAACTGCTTATTCTAAAAGTTTCTTCCAATTGAAGGGGGGGGTGAAGTGGTAAAGTTATTTGACTGTTTTGAAGACCATTAGGTCTGACATTCAGTTCAAATAAAGAAACCAAGAGATGGGAAAGGAAAGTTCCACAATTAACAAGGCAGATGTCAACCGTAAACAGGATAAAATCATTTAATGAATTGGGTCGCTGTCAATGACCAGACAAGAAACAAAAGTCTTGGAAAATAGGAACTATGGGAAAGGGAACAATGAGTACTTCCAACAACAGTCGAGCAAAAGCATAAATGGAGACTGTTAACTAATGTTGTCTTTATGGAAAATGCAGACAGGAACTTTCTTTTGTAGGCTTCTAAAAGATTGGTCCCAAGCCTTTTCAGTAAATTTGCATTGTCGTGAACATCCTAGTTTCTAGGATAGCTGGTAGGTAATACTCCTACCAGACATTTTCCTTTTTTCTCTTGTAAAAATTGGTCCTTAGCCCTCAAGAACCGGTAAACAGCAGCTGTAACCATATGTCGGTAATAAGGTAGCGATATTCTTTGATTGGATAAGTTCCGACCTGCACAAAAGCATAATGGTTTGGGCACTGCTCGGTGAAATAGACATGTATGTGACTTTGATAATTGATACCACCCTAGCGGAATAACGCTACAGTTACCGACGGGTGTGTACCGAATTTATGCACTGAATAACATGACAAAATAATAATAATTGATTCATTATAAGTTAATATTAATCAATGGTTATGATTTTACTACGTCATTCAGTGCACAATTTTGGTATATACTTTTCAGTAACTCTACCATTTTCTTTTATGAAATTCTATAAGAATTGTTAAGGGAAAAGAGTCCTCCCTTTTTCAGAAATAAATAATAGCATAAACCTCTACAGAAAGCAGATGGGGAAATTCCATGCAGGTCATGCGCTTTGGGAAACAAGATCTGTGATAGATCACATGCAATGCAGGTCTACAATAGGCAAAGGAAGCATAGCAGAGGATCACAAGCTAGGCTGGCAAAACAGAACAGGACAGAGGACAGTCAGCACAAGACAAATGGCAATATGGGAGAGGAGCAGTACAACATTCTGTTATACTGGGCATTACAAAAAGAGAGCAGATCGTGAGGGAAAGGAGAAAGAGAAGACAAGGTTTATTGGGAGGCAGCTGGCCCTCGAAGCACAGCAGAGTTATCTTTTTTTCTTTGAATCTGTTTGAGTATTTTGAGTACGCAGTAGGCTTTTATTCTGGTTTTTGTTTGCATTTCCAAAAGTGTAATACAGAGTCTGAATCATTCAAATACAACCTTCAGTTCTTGAACTTTCTGTTACATTTCTTTTTTTACTGTTACATTTCATTGTTGGGTTTGCTGAGTTGCTGAATCCTATCAATCTGCCTCGTCTTCCATTTGCTGAATAAAAATTTCAGTCGGTTGAAGGCATCCTCTTAACTTGTCAAGTCCAAGTTGTGCTCGCTCGTTATCTCCAAAACCAAATATTCGCCCTTGTTGAGTGACTACAACAGTGTGGTACAGACCAGTGCTAATTTGAGAAACATGGTGACCTCTTAAGCTATCAAGGATTCGCGGCTTCATAACTTTATCATATGTAAGCCCAAGGCTACCAAACCCCATCCACCCAAAGCCATAAACAGAACCATTATCAACCAGAACAAACGTTTTCCTCTTTCTTGCACACACCTACAAGATGAAATAAAACAATCCCAATAAAGTGGCATTAAAGAGTAGAATAGAGTTGCATTGAAGGCAAATCTTCTAATTCTTACATGGACATAATTCTTTTTCAGATAACAAACCAATAATTCATAACAATTAAATGCTACCAATAAATACCTTTTAGGTTCAATAGTGAATTTTTTTTTAATAACAATGCTTTTTTCCGACCCAGCTGTTTAATTTTATAATCATAACAAGAAAGCGGAAAAGGTGAATTCAGTTATGATGTTTGAATGCACCTTTATACCTGATTCTGATTATGGGCTCAATGGTTAACCAAAGTTTTGATAACTACACTTTTTCTGATCCAGTTGTGTAATTTTATAATCAAAAACAGAAATTTGTAAAGGACTTCAATTTGATGTTTAAATGAACGCATAACCAATAAATTAGGAATCACAACTTTGGTCTGATAAATGCAGTAGACCTTGGTCCACTTGATAAGATCATGGAGGCACAAAAGGTGGACCAACAGTAACAGATGAAAGAGAATATATCAAACACCCTAGTGGAGATGGAGACACATTTTGTGGGAACCTGATGCTGGGAGGAAAAAGGCCCCTCCCGATTTGACACAGAAACTGGAAGGAATGAAAGCACAATTTTGATTCTTGCCCTAATTCCTACAAATTAAGTATCCTATTACAATCGCTAGAATATTGCCTTTGTGTTAATAAACAACATGCAGGAAAGCTACTAGGTACACTCTTTCATCAGGAATGATATACTGGATGAATGAACCTAACCTGGATAGCTAGGTGGCTCTTAAGGCTGCTCAAGAGTTCTGGAATAGTCTTATCAATCTCATCACCATGGCCTAGAGCACCACAGTAACCTTTGCCCCAAGCATATACCTGCAACCACCAAAAACCAAAGTCAGAAATTCACCAAATCCAAACAAACTAAAGAAAGAAAAGATCTCAGGGAAAAAACTAACAAATCCACTGGAATCAAGCGCCACTGCATGCTCGTCACCAGCAGAGACACGGACCACATGAATGCCCTTTCTCTTAAATGTCTGGATCACACGTGGTTGGAACTCATTATGCTGTTCTCCATGTCCAAGACAGAAATTAGAACCAGAACCAAACGAGTAAACTTCCCCATTTCCAGTTACAGCCAGGACATAACTTGGACCAGCAGCAATCTGAACAACAGAGCCAACTTCCTCAAGTGATGCAATGCTTCTGGGTGTTGGCCTGTCTACAGTGTCACCATGACCAAGCTGGCCGTGTGTGTTGGACCCACATGTGTAGACATGACCTTGTCTTGTTAGGAACACAGTGAAATTAAGCCCTGCAGCAACCTGAAACAACTTCTAGCTTTTAGTATAGACTGAAATCATTGTGAGTGAAAACAC